GTCGGCCAGTCGGTCAGTCGGGGAGTCGGGGAGTCGGCCAGTCGTCGGGGAGTCGGCCAGTCGGGGAGTCGGCCAGTCGGCCAGTCGGGGTAGTCGGGGAGTCGGCCAGTCGGCCAGTCGGGGAGTCGGCCAGTCGGCCAGTCGGGGAGTCGGCCAGTCGACCAGGTAGGCCTCAGTCGGGGGTCGGGGGGGTCGGCGATCGGCCAGCGGCCAGTCGGGGATGTCGGGGAGTCGGCCCATGTCGGCCAGTCGGCAGTCGGAGGTAGCCGGCCATCGGCCAATGCGTGAGTTTGCCAGTGTTTTTGTTCGGGGGTCGGCCAAGCGGGGGAGTCGGGAGTCGCGTCGATCGGTCAGTCGGCCCGTCGGTCAGTCGGGGAGTTGGGGGGTCGGGAGTCGGGGGAGTCGAGGAGCCAGGGAGTCGAGGAGTCGGGGAGTCGGTCAGTCGGGGAGTCGGCCAGTCGGGGAGTCGGGGAGTCGGTCAGTCGGGGAGTCGGCCCGTCGGGGAGTCGGGGAGTCAGGGAGTCGGCCAGTCGGGGAATCGGCCAGTCGGGGATATCGGGACGGGGAGTCGGGGAGTCGGCCAGTCGAGGAGTCGGCCAGTCGGGGAGCCAGGGAGTTGGGGAGTCGGGGAGTCGGCCAGTCGGCTAGTCGGGGAGTCGGCCAGTCGGGTAGTCGGGGAGTTGGCCAGTCGGCCAGTCGGCCAGTCGAGAAGTCGGCCAGTCGGCCAGTCGGGGAGTCGGCCAGTCGGCCAGTCGGCCAGTCGGGGGGTCGGCCAGTCGGGGAGTCCGGGGGTCGGGGACTCGGCTACTTGGCCCTTCGGTTAGTTGGCCAGTCGGGGAGTCGGGGAGTCGGGGAGTCGGTCAGACGGGGAGTATGCCAGTGGGGGAGTCGGGGAGTCGGCCAATCGGCCAGTCGGCCAGTCGGGGAGTCAGGGAGTCGACCAGTCGGCCAGTCGGCCAGTCGGGGATTCCGAGAGTCGGGGAGTCGAGGAGTCGGGGAGTCGGCCAGTCGGGGAGTCGGGGGGGAGTCGGGGAGTCGGGGAGTCGGGGAGTTGGAGTCGGGGAGTCGGCTAGTCGAAGAGTTGGGCCAGTCGGGGAGTCGGGGGGTCGGGGAGCCCTGGAAACCCTCAGACAGAGAGAGAGAGAGAGAGAGAGAGAGAGAGAGAGAACAAGAGAAAGAGAGAGAGAAAGAGAGAGAGAGAGAGAGAGAGAGCTCACGAGACAACTTTCAAGGACGCCGTGGAAGGTCCGGGTAGAGCCTCCCAAGGGCCCCCTATCCGCCAGGATCTCCAGTCTCAGTCGGGAGATCGTGGCGTCTTGGGGCCTTCCTAGGGGCCCTGGGAGCTCCTGGAAAGGATTAGGGTATTCCTGGTAAGTCCAAAATAAACAAAGATAGGTCCCGAAAAAGCTCCATGGAAGCTTCAGGAGGCGCCGGCAGGGCCTCCCATGGAGCACCAATGTGTCAAGATCTCCCTTCGCAGTAAAAGATCGTAGCGTGTCGGAGCCTCCTGGAGCTGCTGGACACCGCGGAGCACCATGTTTGAATGTTTAAACACTTATTGGAAGATCTCGAGACAGAGAACGGCCACTAGAAAGTAAAACGGCACCAACAACGACCAGAAGCCTCGGCAGGATCTTTCAGAGCACCAGGATCCGCCACGATCTCCAGCCTCAGTTCGGACATCGTGGCCTCTTGGGGCTCTCCTGAAGCCCCCAAGTGGTGCTGGAAGAGTTTCGGATATCCTTTTCGGGTCTCCCTGGGGACTGCGAGCAGTAAGAGAGAGAGAGAGAGAGAGAGAGAGAGAGAGAGAGAGAGAGAGATATATACATAATATATATATATAGAGAGAGAGAGAGAGAAAGAGAAAAAGGGTGAAAGAGAGAAAGAGAGAGATAGAGAGAGAGAGAGAGAGAGAGAGAGAGAGAGAAAGAGAGGAACCCCGAGAAGGCGCCCAAGGAGACAGTGAAAACCCCGACAGGGCCTCCCAGGAGCTCCCTGTCCATTGCGATCTCTGGCTTCAGCTCGGAGATCGTAGCGTCTGGGAGCTGTCCGGGAGCCCCTGGGAACTCCTGGGCGGAATTCGGATGGCATCTCTGCTGGAGTCGGGGAATCGGCCAACCGGGGAGTCGGGGAGTCGGGGGGGCGGAGAGTCGGGGAGTCGAGGGGTCGGCCAGTCGGGGAGTTGGGGAGTCGGCCAGTCGGCCAGTCGGGGAGTCGGGAGTCGGGGAGTCGGGGAGTCGGCCAGTGTCGGGGAGTCGGCCAGTCGGCCAGTCTGGCCAGTCGGCCAGTCGGGGCGTCGGCCAGTCGGGGAGTCGGGGAGTCGGCCAGTCGGCCAGACGGGAAGTCGGGGAGTCGGCCAGTCGGCCAGTCGGCCAGTCGGGGGGTCGGGGAGTCGAGGAGTCGGGAAGTCGGGGAGTCGGCCAGTCGGCCAGTCGATCAGTCGGGGAGTCGGCCAGTCGGCCAGTCGGCCAGTCGGCCAGTCGGCCAGCCGGGGAGTCGGCCAGTCGGGGAGTCGGCAAGTCGGGGAATCGGGGAGTCGGCCAGTCGGCCAGTCGAGGAGTCGGGGAGTTGGGGAGTCGGCCAGTCGGCCAGTCGGGAAGTCGGCCGGTCGGGGAGTCGGCCAGTCGGCCAGTCGGCCAGTCGGGGAGTCGATGAGTCGGGGAGTCGGGGAGTCGGCCAGTCGGCCAGTCGGCCAGTCGGCCAGTCGGCCAGTCGGGGCGTCGGCCAGTCGGCCAGTCGGCCAGTCGGCCAATCGGGGAGTCGGGGAGTCGGCCAGTCGAGGGGTCGGCCAGTCGGGGAGTCGGGGAGTCGGCCAGTCGGGGAGTTGGGGAGTCGGCTAGTCGGTCAGTCGGCCAGTCGGCCAGTCGGGGAGTCGGGGAGTCGGCCAGTCGGCCAGTCTGCCCAGTCGGCCAGTCGGGGCGTCGGCCAGTCAGGGGGCCGGCCAGTCGGAAAGTCGGAGAGTCGGGGAGTCGGCCAGTCGGCCAGTCGATCAGTCGGGGAGACGGGAAGTCGGGCAGTCGGCCAGTCGGCCAGTGGGCCAGTCGGGGGGTCGGGGAGTCGAGGAGTCGAGAAGACGGGGAGTCGGCCTGTCGGCCAGTCGATCAGTCGGGGAGTCGGCCAGTCGGTCAGTCGGCCAGTCGGCCAGTCGGCCAGCCGGGGAGTCGGGCAGTCGGGGAGTCGGCAAGTCGGGGAATTGGGGAGTCGGCCAGTCGGCCAGTCGGGGAGTCGGCCAGTCGGCCAGTCGGCCAATAATCGGGACGTCGGCCGGTCGGGGAGTCGGCCAGTCGGCCAGTCGGCCAGTCGGGGAGTCGATGAGTCGGGGAGTCGGGGAGTCGGCCAGTCGGCCAGTCGGCCAGTCGGCCAGTCGGGGCGTCGGCCAGTCGGCCAGTCGGCCAGTCGGCCAATCGGGGAGTCGGGGAGTCGGCCAGTCGGGGGGTCGGCCAGTCGGCCACTCAACCAGTCGGGGAGTCGGCCAGTCGGGGAGTCGGGGAGTCGCCCAGTCGGCCAGTCGGCCAGACGCCCAGTCGGGGAGTCGGGGAGTAGGCCAGTCGGCCAGTCGGTCAGTCGGCCAGTCGGCCAGTCGGGGAGTCGGGGAGTCGGCCAGTCGGCCAGTCGGGGAGTCGGGGAGTCGGCCAGTCGGCCAGTCGGGAGTTTGTCATCGGTAGTCCGGCCAGTCGGCAGCCCGGGGGTCGGCCAGCCGGGCAGATCGCTGTCGGGGCTCGGCCAGTCTGCAGTCCGGGGAAGTTGGGAGTCGGGGATCGGCCATCGCCAAGCCTCAAGGTGAAATTGTCGGAACCAGTCGGGGAGTAGGACTGACGGCCTGTCGCCAGTGGGCCCTCGCTGTAGTCGCCAGTCGGAGTCGGGGATCGTGGCCAATCGGCCATCGGCCATTCGGCCATCGGGCGTCGCCAGTAGGTCAGTCGGCCAGTCGCCCAATCGGCCGTACGGGGAGTCCGGCCAATCGGGGTCGGCCAGTCGGCCACTCAACCATCGGGGATCGAGGCCCATCGGGAGGTCGGCCAGTCGCCAGTCGGCCAGTCGCCAGACGCCCATCGGGAGTCGGGATAGCCAGTCGGGCCAGTCGGGGAGTCGGCCAGTCGGGGAGTCGGGGAGTCGGCCAGTCGGCCAGTCGGGGAGTCGGGGAGTCGGCCAGTCGGCCTGTCGGCCAGTCGGCCAGTCGGGGAGTCGGGGAGTCGGCCAGTCGGCCAGTCGGGGAGTTTGTCAGTCGGGGAGTCGGCCAGTCGGCCAGTCGGGGGGGTCGGCCAGCCGGGCAGTCGGCTTGTCGGGGCGTCGGCCAGTCTGCCAGTCGGGAAGTTGGGGAGTCGGGGAGTCGGCCAGTCGGCCAGTCGGGGAGTCGGCCAGTCGGCCAGTCGGGGCGTCGGCTAGTCGGGGAGTCGGGGAGCAGGGCAGTCGGCCAGTCGGCCAGTCGGGCTGTCGGCCAGTCGGCCAGTCGGCCAGTCGGCCATTCGGGGAGTCGGGGAGTCGGCCAGTCGGCCAGTCGGGGAGTCGGGGAGTCGGCCAGTCGGCCAGTCGGGGAGTCGCCCGGTCGGGGAGTCGGCCAATCGGGGAGTCGGGGGGTCGGGGGTTTCATTCTGGCACCGTACACATTTTCCAAGTAGGGCGGAGGGGCACTGCTGCTGGGGAGCGCTGTGGAGGGTGTGGCGGGGGCGGGAGGGGGGTGCGACACGGTGCGGGATCAAGTGATCGGGGCGGGGAAGCATTGGGCGGGGGTTCCACTGGGACGCGGGGGAACGCTGGGGGGAGGGGGTTGCGACGCGACGCGGAATGACGTGGTCGGGGCGGAGGGGGCGCCAGGCCGCTGGGGAACGCTGGAGATGGGGTGGCGGGGGCGGGGGGGTGCAACGAGACGCGGCATGTAATAGTCGGGGCGGGGAGCACTACACAGGGGGCTCCACAGGGGCGCAGGAGAACGCTGGGGATGGAGGAGGGGTGCGGCGCGATGCGGAATACAGTGGTCGGGGCGGATGAGGCATTGGGCGGAGGTTCCACTGGGGCGCGGGTGAACGCTGGGGAGGGGGGGCGACGCGACGCTGAATAACATCGTCGGGGCGGAGGGGGCCGCTGGTCCTGGGAAACGCTGGGGGAGGGGGTGGCGGGGGCTCGCCGTGGGGCGCAGCTGGGGAAGGTTTGGGTGGGGCGGGGCGGGGGTCGCGCGGTGCGCGACGCGGGATAAAATGGTTGGGGCGGGGCCAGTGCGCTGGCGGAACCTCTTATGTTTATTTTGCCTCCCCTTTTTTCGGAACGCTGGGGAAGAGGAGGGGGCGCGGTTACGCGAATAAAATGGTCGGGCTGAGGGCGGCGCTGGTGGTGGGTTTCCCGACCCTGGGGCTGGGGGTGGCGGGAGGAGGGCGGGGGGGGGTCGGGCGCCTTGCGATGCGTCTTGACTGGTCGGGGCGGAGGGTGCATTGGGGAGCAGGTCCACTGGCCCGGGGGCTCGCTGGGGGTGGGGGGGTGGGGGCGGGGGGGCGCGCGCGTGCGAGGCTGTATAAAATTTATCGGTGCGGGGGGGGGGGCCTGGGCGAGGAGGGTCGAGCGGCATCGGGCGCTGGGTTTCCATTGGACCGTTGGGCTCGGGGCGGGTGGAGGGGTGCGGGGGGGGGGGGCGGGGCGCGGGCGACGCGAACTAAAATGGTCGGGACGGGGGGGTCTTGTGTATTGTGCGGGGGTACCACTGGGCCGTTGGGGCACGCTGGGGAGGGTGGGGGGGGGGAAGGGAGGGGGGCGGAAAAGGCGGAGACGCGCGGTGCGACGCGGAATAAAATGGTTGCCGTGTGATATGGGGCTCTGCGGAGTACAGTCTGTGGCTGCGGAGTACACTGGATGGGAACGCCTCTGGGCCAGTCCGAGGTTCCATTGGGCCTCTGGGGAACGCTGGGGCGAGGCGGAGGCGGGCGCGGTGCAACGCAGAAAACAATTTCTGGGGCGGAGGTGGCATTGGGCGGAAGTTTCGCTGGACCGCTGGGGCTGGGGAGGGGTAGTGAGGCGGGGGGAGGGGGGGCGGGCGCGGTGCGACGCGGCGTAAAATGGTCGGGGCGGAGGGGGCAGTGGGCGGCAGGTCCATTGGGCCGTTGGGGCCCGCTGGGGGCGGTTGGTCGGGGGGCGGGCAAGGGGGTGGGCGCGCGGTGCGCGACGCGGAATAAAATGGTTGGGGCGCAGGGGGCGCTGGGCGGAGGTTCCAGTGGGCCTCTGGTGAGCGCTGGGGAGAGGAGGAGGGGGGCGCGGTGCGACGCGGCATAAAATGGTCGGGGCGCAGGGGGCACCTGGGCGGAGGTTCCACTGGGCCTCTGATGAACGCTGGGAAGAGGAGGAGGGGGGCGTGGTGCGACGCGGCAGAAAATAGTCGGGGCGGGTGTGGCACTGTGCGGAGGTTCCACTGGACCGCTGTCGCTGGGAAGGGGCGGGGGAGATGCGGGCAAAGGGGGGGCGGGCGCGGTGCGACGGGGAAGAAAATGATCGGGGGTTGAGGGGACACTGGGCGGAAGTTCCACTGGGCCGTTGGTTCACGCTGGTGAAGGTTGGGAGGGCAACTGGGGAACGCTGGGGAGGGTTAGGAAGGGGCGAGGCAGGAGGGGGTGCGGTGCGACGCGGAATTGGTCGGAGCTCTACACCCTGTGCAAGATAATAAAAGCAATATTAATACGGGGATTGAGCAGAAAACGAATGCTAATTAAATCTTAATTGGGAAATATCATTTAATTTATAATGTTAAATATATAAAAATAAAAAGAATATAATTAAAATTATAATAAATTTATATAATTCATAAAAATATTAAATAACATAAATAAGTATATTTTGAGTTGTAATTTACATATAAAATAACATATAAATATCACGGGATTGAGCAGAAAACGAATGCTCTGAATACGCAGAATACGAGTAAGACTGCGACGAAAACGAATTAACACAATACAATCAAGAATCATCATACGAATGAGCGTAATACTTATACTACTATTGAAATAATGGTATTAAGTCTCAGACTACGAATATGTTAAGGCCCAGTGAAGCGACCACCCCCCCCTTCAAGTTTTCGTTCAGTGCGTCGCCCGAGCGTCGCCCGTGCGCCGGCCCTGGTTTGCGTCTCTGTCCCGAATCCCGGCCTCCCAGAGTGCGTGGGCGACATGTGGCGCGACTTCGGAATTGCTCTGGCGATGTATAGGTTTCCGACGCCCGTGCACCAGCAGCCATTTTGGCGGTCGCGGCGCACTCCTAGTTCGACGGTCCACCAACGCGTTCTGTTCCCAATTCGGCGCAAGAGGATTTGCTGGCGCTCATTGTCGGGGGCGCCAACCGTTGCTGAGGACGAAGACGCCTCGCGTTGATTGGGGGCTGTGCGTGTCGCGCCGCCGTGGGGGTGACGTCACGTCGCGCGACGCGGCGCCACTTCGCCCCGTCGCATCGCGCCCCGCACCCCCATGTCGTTTCGCTCCAATCCTCTTGCCCCCCCCCTCTTCCTTCCTCTTCCCCTCGTCCAACGCGCTGCGCGTCTTGTCCCGTTTGCGAAATTTGTATTCAGTTCTTTTGTGTCAGGCTGCCGTCCTGTCCGCCTCCCTACTCGCCCCCCGTTGTCCTTCCACCCTCCTGGAACTTCTTCTCGCCCTCCTCGCTCCCGCCGCACCCCTTTCGATCGCCTTCCATCGCTCCCGCCGCCGCTGCGCCGCCCCCGCGCGCCCCCTCCTCGCCCGTCCGTTCCCATTTCCGCCCGCCCTTCCCTCGCCTCTCTTCCATCTTCTTTTCCCCCCCAATGCATCGGCGGGCGAGACGTCGCCAAATTGCTGCAGCGACGGACCGATGTTCAACATCTGACGGGGCGTGCGCTTGAAATGGATTAGTCCGTGCGCGCTGCATCTCCATGTCGTCTCTTGGTCTCCTCGCGTTCGTAGTTTTCACGTGCGTGTCTCGCTATTTCTACGATTGCCGCGCGCATCCCTTGATTGTTTCGCCAGCGGGCCGTGCAGTTCACATGCCGTCAGGAGTCCACGGCGCCCTTCGAGCGATTCGCGCGCGACCTGCGCGCGACGCGCGAACGACCCGAGCGACGCCCGCGCGACGCACGCGCGACGCGCGCGCGACGCGCGCGCGACGCACCCCGACCCGCGCGCGACGCGCCCCTGCCAGCGCGCGACGCACGATCGACCCGCGCGACGCACGCGCGACGCACGCGCGACGCACGCGCCACGCGCGCGACGCACGCGCGACGCACGCGCGACGCACGCGCGACGCACGCGCGACGCACGCGCGACGCACGCGCGACGCACGCGCGACGCACGCGCGACGCATGCGCGACGCAGTCGCGACTTTGCCCGCCCCTGGCAGTTCTCCGAGCAGCAATGCGCAACGGCCGTCGGCCCGCCGTGCTTGCGCTGTTCACAAGTGGCGGCGGCTGCGCCCTCCATTGCGCCAGGAAGGGCGGTGCTTGCCCTTGTTATTTCCCTTTTCCTTCCTCGTCGTCCCTCCTCTTTTGTCATTCCTCCTCCCTCGTCCTCTCTCCTGCCTCGCCCCCCTCTCTCCTCCCCTTCTCTTCCTCCTTTCTGCCGGCCTCCCTCTGTCAGTCCCTCCCCCCTCCTCTCTCGTCTTTGCTTTTTTTTCCCCTTGCCACCCCGTGCCCCTCTTCATTTTCTTTTCTCCTTCGGCCCCCCTTCCACGGCCGCGGCGCGTCGCCGCGAGCGGCGCCCCCGCCTTCCGCGAACGGCCCCGCCGCTGGCGGTGGAGGAGGAAGATTACGAGGAGAAAAGGAGGGGGGATGGGCAGGGGCGCGAGGCGGGCGCGGCGGCAAGGGCGGCCCGGCAGGTGCAGGGGTGGGGGGGGGGGGGCGGAGTGGGCGGGTGCTTCTGTAATGGTCATGTTGGTGATCATAGTCGTGGTCGCGTTCGTCGCCTTGGTCGCGTTGGCGGCGGTCGTGCCGCTGGTGGTGGGCGGGCTGGTGGTGGTCACGTCGGTGATCGCGCTAGTGTCGGTCGTTGTGGTGGTCGCGAGAAGCGTGGTGGTCGTGGTGGTGATGATGGCGGTAAATGGTGTTGGTCGTGATCATCGCGGTGGATGCGGTTGCGGTCGCATCCGTTTGTGGTGATCGTGGCGGCGGTAGTTTTGGCGCTGGCGGCGGTTGCGGCGGCTGTGGCGGCGGCTGGGGGGACCTGCTGGCCTATCGCCGGGCTGCGTTCAGCAGCGTCGTTGCATTTGTAATGTTCGGGGGATTTGCTGATCTGCCGAGGTAGCCCAGCGGCCGCCTTCTTCTCGCCAAGAGGGCCGCAGCGTGGGCGACTTTCTTTTTCCCGAAGGCGGCCAGCCTTTTTAAGCGGCCGTGGAGAGGGCGACGCGCGTGCGATCCGCCCTGTGGGTGTCCGCCGCGCTGGCGACGCACTCACCAAAGTGCCCCCTTGCGAGGGCGACGTGCACGTTCGAGAGGGCGGCTGGCCTTTTCGGCGGCCGACGCACGGGCGACGAATGCGCGACGCACTTCCTGTCGCGAAGGGGGGGGGGGTCAGCACGCCGGTCGCTTTACTGGGCCTTAACATACGAATAATACCCAGAGGATAAGCAGGAGGAGGAGGAGGCGGAGGAGGAGGAGGAGGAGGAGGAGGAGAAGGATCGAAGACAAGTCAGGCGAAACACTGCCGCTCCTGCCTTCTAGAAGCGCCCGTGCGGTGGAACGTCTGGCGATTTAGCGCGATGATGCTGGTGGACCGCGTGCTCCCCGAGTTGCGGGGGAACCGCTGGGGGAAGGCTAGGGCGGGGCCCTTTGGGACCGTCGTTGCGCTGTCTTGGGCTTGAGGGCTTTTGGGGGCCTTCTTGGGGCCATCTTGGGGCCCTTGTGAGCCATCTTGAGGCCCTGTCGGGCCGTTTTCGAAAAAGAAAAACGCCGTGAACATGAACTTTTAGGTTCTCCGCGCGGATTTCTTGGATCTGCGCTGGGCCCCCCCGGCGGCGCCTGCGGCACCGCCCCTGGCGCGCTCCGCGCGCCAGGGAGGGGGCTCGTCCAGCGCGGATCGGAGAAATCCGCGCGGAGCGCCAAAAGTTTATGTTTAGGGCGTTTTTTCTGTTTCTACGTATGGAGTCCCCGGAGGCCGTGTTACGGCGCTTTTTAGGGCCTTCTCAGGACCGTCTTGGGGCCCTCGAGGGCCGTCTTGGGGCCCTCTTGTGGGATTTTTGGGGCAATCTCGGGCAAGCTTGGGGTCTGCCGGGTTGTCTTGGACACTTTACCGACCGCACAGGTCAGGATGTCAATCCATGGATTCTGCCTCCTGGAGGTTGTCCATCCATGGTTTCATGCGCCTGTTGCAAATCCATGGATTTTGCCTCGTCAGAGCCTTTGATGAAGACTCTCTTTGACCTCTCTTCGGCCGTCTTGTGTCATCTTGGGGCCATCTTGGGCTCATCTTGGGCCATCGTTGGGCCATCTTAGTAGCGTCTTGGATGCCACCTTGGCCAGCCCTCTTGGAGCCAGCTGGGACGGAAACGCCTACGGAATCTGGTCCTTCTGGGTGGCCGGCGGGTCTGGCCGGAGACCACCTGGAACCCATCGGAAGGGCGAAGAAGAGCTATAAAGTATAGTCTGGCATGCCAGGCACCCTTGCGGCAGGCTACGGAGTAGCGGATCTAGTGGCGTTTTGCCCGTCGTGGACAAGTGGCCTCTTCGAGACCTCTTGGGGTCTCTTGGGAGGTCTCGTGCGGGCTCCCAAGACGTCCCCTAAGACGACCCTGATAGACTCCCAGAATAGCCCCTAGACGGCCCAAGAAAGCGCCAGGACACGCCCAGACAGTCCAAGAAGGCCATGGCATCCGCAAGACGACCCTTGTAGGCTTCCAAAGCGCGTACAAGAGGCGGCTAAGAAGGCCCGCAGAGACTCGAAGATGGCCTCAGACGTGGCTGGATCCACAGATCGACTTCGGAGGGCATTTTGAACGAGCATCGTCTTGGAACCGCTCCTATAGGGCTTCGAAACTGCCCAATCGTTTCCCAAAAGGCTTCCCCGATGACACCCAATGCGCCCCCTGGATTCTTACCCTCTTTCAAGAGGCTGTCTTGCAAGCCGCTCAGACTACGTAGTTAGGTCACCCGCAGGGGCACCAACCTGCCCCTCCCGCACCACCAGACGTCTCCGAAGGGCGAGCCGGGCGTCTTGCCTGAGACGCCCTCATAATGTACGACCTTGAAGCCTGACGTTTTCAACACGTGCAAGGGTAGAGGCTGTATACATGATCTCGCTACTTGCAAACACAGCAATCGGTTTGTGCCGCTCTGGGGCTTTCTGGATCGCGCTCTTGTGGTGAGCTTGTGTGAACACATAATTGGTCATCCCGCTCCTCACCCTCACCCCTACTAGTGGCCATTTGGGCTCACTTTTTCAGAGCTCAAGTCTGGGTTCGCAGCCTGACTCGCCTGGGTCGCGACCCGACTCCAGCCTCTCTGTGTAGACCATGACCACGCCCGTCGAGTCAGTCCTGGTCACTAAGAACACTTTCCTGGACTGCAGGTCGCCGTGGATGGATCCCGTCGTCCTGCCACGTAGGCTTGGCGGGACGAGAAGGGGGGGGGGCAGGGGGGGCAAGGGGGGGCAGGGGTTCACTTGCTGGATGTCTTCGTGTGTGTTTTGCGTGTGTGTGTGTGTGTGTGTGTGTGTGTGTGTGTGTGTGTGTGTGTGTGTGTGTGTGTGTGTGTGTGTGTGTGTGTGTGTTTGTGTGTGTGTTTTGTGCGTGTGTGTGTGTGTGTGTGTGTGTGGTGGGCGTGATGTCGCCAGCTCACCAAGAGCTGTCAGCCGAGCTCGCGCCCGATGGCCAAAAAAAAAAAAAAAAAAAAACGAAGCTAGGAAAGCGGGGGGGAAGCTGCGGCAGCTGCTGCGTGCCGCTGGTTTCGGCCCCGCCGCCGGGCGCGTTCCCCCTCGATGCACATGGGCGCCTCCTTCTCTTGCCGGGGGCTGCGCTGGGAGAACACGCTACGATTCGCTCCCCCCCTTTCACTCGACCAACAAAACGGACGACACCACCGCACCTGCGGCCCAACGCCGTGGCTGTGGCGCATACCGCGCAAGACCCACGCCAGATGTCCTGGAATACCCCTGGGGCCGTAGGTGGGGCGGTGCCGTTTGTTTTTTCTGGCCCATTCGCTGCCCCTCGCCTTCGCGTCCGACCCGAGAGGCCCAGCTCCGACCCCGCCACCTCCACCACCTCTGTGGATGCCTCGTCGTCTGGCCTGGGGGAGCTCAGCGGCGCCAGCGAGCAGACGGATAGCGGCGCCGGCGGCGCAGCGGCGGGAGAGGGCGCCTTCCGTCGGAGGACGAGGGCACAGCGCCGCCGCCAGCAGCGCAAGCAGATCAAGGATCGGGCGACGTCGAAGAAGAAGCCATGCCATAAGTATGAACTTTTGGCGCTCTGCGTGGACTTCTTGAATGCGCGCTGGGCCCCCCCCCCCCCGGCGCCCCCAGCGCCGCCTCTGGCGCGCTCCGCGCGGCAGTGAGGGGGGTCCAGCGCAGATCCAAGAAACCCGCGCGGAGCGCCAAAAGTTGATTCCCCACATGCTTAGAGGGGCTCTGGTTTTCTTCCCTGCCGCGTCACACCCGCGTCTCCCTCCTCCCCTGCTCTTCCTTCCTCTTCTACTGACACATAAACACAGACACGCAGACACACACACACAGACACACACACACAGACAAGGCCGCACACACAGATCAGACACTTACACACCACACACCACACAACACAGGCACAGACACAGACACAGACACAAGGCACGGCATGCGTGGCACTTTCTCGACACCAGAGGGGGTGCGCAGGGGGTGGTCCCTGAGCGCGGTCTCTATATGCTCCAGGCTCGCAGGGCACGGCAGGCGTGGCACTTTCTCGACACCATAAGGGGTGCGTTGGGGGTGGGGGCGCTATGCGTTGCAGGCTCGCAGAGCATGGCAGGCATGGCATTTCCTCGACGCCACAGGGGGCGCGCTGGGGCTAGGGGCGCTATGCGTTGCAGGCTCGCAAGGCATGGCAGGCGTGTTATTACCTGGACGCCACAGGGGGTGCGCTGGGGGAGGGGGCGGTACGCGTTGCATGCTCCCACATGGGCAGGCTCGCAAGGCGTGGCATTTCCTCGACGCCACAAGGGGGTGCGCTGGGGGTGGGGGCGCTATGCGTTGCAGGCTCGCAGGGCATGGCAGGCGTGGCAATTCCTTGACGCCACAGGGGGTGCGCTGGGGGTGGAGGCGCTATCCGCCCTTGTCGTCCCCGGCACAGCAGGCGTGGCACTTTCTCGGCCACCTAGCATCATCCACGTATGTTGCACGTCAGCTATGCGAAGACAAAAGTTTAAACGAAGTCTGTGGGGTTCCTCGGTAGCGTAATGTTTACGGCGTGTTTTCTTCTTCTACGCCTCTATACACATCCACTGCCCCTGGCCAGGAAGAGCGGGTACGAAGACCAACAGCGGCTCCTGCCAATTTTGAGCAGGGCTTGCTGTCTGCGTCGCCGCTGACGTTGTCCATTCGAGACAAGACGTTGTCGCCTGCCCAACAGCGGTCGCTGTCGTTTCGGGACAGCATTTGCTGCTGGGCATCGTACCCATGGTTTCCGCGTATTTATTCCAGGTGTGCCACAGGGGGAGCCTGGCCAGTGGCTGTGGAAATGTGTAGACCTCGTCGCCCGAGAGGAGAGGGGCACGGCCTCCAACCCCTCGCAGGAGGAGGAAGCCTCGGCCTCCTCCTCGCCGCGCGGCGCGCCTCCGCTGAGCAAGCTCCTGCCCGACGGCGGCGGCGCCGAGCCAGGGGCGCAGCCGACTCGCCTGATCCGCAAGACGGGCCACCGGGGCGGGCCCGCCGCGCTCGGCTCTCCGGGGGGCTCGGGCCCCGGCGGCGGCACCGCGTCGACGAAGATCTCGCTGTGAGGGTGCCCGCCGCCCAGGGCGGCCCTCCGTCGGCGCCCCGGGCCTCCCGACGGCGTGGTCTCGGCCTCGGAGGGCCCGCCTCGGCCCCGAGACCACGAGGGACTCAGCACGTCGGTGTTCGGCCGGAGTTCAGAGGAGGGCAGCCGTTCCACACGGGTCTTGCTGGAGCAGCTGGGGCGTTCCAAAGAGCGCCGTGCTTTCGAGGATCGACGGAGTCGCCATCCCTTCCTCGGCGGAAAGCGGCGGAAGGCTGGCGGAAGGCCGGCGGGAGGCGGCGGAAGGAAACGACGCGCCCTCGCGCCCTCAAGAGATGAGCACGTTTTTGGGTTCAGGGTTTCTGGAATCCGCCAGCTGATGATTCTCTCTCTGTCCGGCAGAGTCCCGAGACTGCCTACCCAACGCAAGTGGGGGCACCTGGGTTGCACTGGCATGTTGAGGTAAAACCTCCACCGCGTCTGTTCTCGTCTTTTATCCTCCCCACTTCTCCTCCTCTCCTCGCTCGCCGTTGTCGACCATAACTGGAACTCGTGTTGAGGTGCCAGGGGATGGTCCAAGAGGCGGCTTGGCAGTCCTTCCGGGGTGCGACCCGTGTGCCCATTTTGTTTCCGTTGCTGTTGTTCGGGGAGCGTGTGTCCATAGCCGGCCCCTGTTGACGTTCGGGGAGCCAGCCTCTCTGATGTGTCATCTCGATTATGTTGCACGCTCTTGCGCAGGCTCTTCGATAGCACCCGCTTCCCGCGCGTGCCAAGAAGGGTCTAGAATACTCTGCGTTTGGTGGTAAGCGTGGTCGGCGACTTGGATCCGTCACGTGATGCGAATCGGAGGAGGGTAGGAGGAGGAGGAGGAGGGAGGGGAAAGAGGAGGAGGAAAGAGGAGGAGAGGAGGAGGGTAGGAAGGAGGAGGGGAGGAGGAGGAGAGGAGGTAGGAGGAGGAGGAGGAGGAGGATGAGAGGAGGAGGAGAGGAGAGGAGAAGGAGGATTGTAGGAGGAGGAAGAGGAGGAGAGGAGGAGGTAGGAGGAGGAGGAGGAGGAGGAGGATGAGGAGGAGCGAGGAGGAGGCGGAGGAGGAGGAGAGGAGGAGGAGGAGGAGGAAGTAGGGAGAGAGGAGGAGAGAGAGAGGAGGAGGAGGAAGGAGGAGGGATGAGGAGGAGGAGAGGAAGAGAGGAGAGAGGAGGAGGAGAGGGAGGAGGAGAGGAGAGGAGTGAGTGGAGGGAGGAGAGGAGGAGGAGGAGGAAGGAGGAGGAGGAGAGGAAGGAGGAGAGAGGAGGTGGAGGAGAAGAGGAGGATGAGGAGAGAGGGAGGAGGAGGAGGGTGGAGGAAGGAGAGGAGGAGGAGGGAGGAGGAGGAGGAGGGAGGAGGAGAGAAGGAGGGAGGAGGAGGAAGAAGAGTGGAGATAGGAGGCAGGAGGTAGAGAGGAGGAGGAGGACGGAGAGTGAGGCAAGGAAGGTAGGCAGGAGGAGGGAGGAGGAGAGGAGGAGGAGAGATCGGAGGAGGAGGAGAGAGGAGGAGAGGAGGAGGAGGAGGAGAGGGAGGGAGGAGGATGAAAGAGGAGGAGGAGGAGAGGAGGAGGAGAGGAGAGGAGGGAGGAGGTGAGGAGATGGAGGAGGAGGAGGGAGAGAGGAGGAGGAGGGGAGGAGGAGGAGGAGGAGGAGGAGATAAAGAGGAGGAAGAGGAGGGGGATTCGGTGGGGACGGGGGAACTTCAGATCCCAGAAATCCGCGCGGAGAGCCAGAAGTTTATGTTTATGGCGTTTTTCCTTCTACGTATGGAGTCCCCGGAGGCCGTCTTACGGCGACTATTAGGGCCTTCTCAGGACCGTCTTCGGGCCCTCGAGGGCCGTCTTGGGGTCCTCTTGTGGGATTTTTGGGCAGTCTCGGGCAAGCTTGGGGTCTGCCGGGTTGTCTTGGACATCTTACCGACCGCACAGGTCAGGATGTCAATCCATGGATTCTGCCTCCTGGAGGTTGTCCATCCATGGTTTCATGCGCCTGTCGCAAATCCATGGATTTTGCCTCGTCGGAGCCTTTGAAGACTCTCTTTGACCTCTCTTCGGCCGTCTTGTGTCATCTTGGGGCCATCTTGGGCTCATCTTGGGCCATCGTTGGGCCATCTTAGTAGCGTCTTGGATGCCACCTTGGCCAGCCCTCTTGGAGCCAGCTGGGACGGAAACGCCCACGGAATCTGGTCCTTCTGGGTGGCCGGCGGGTCTGGCCGGAGACCACCTGGAACCCATCGGAAGGGCGAAGAAGAGCTATAAAGTATAGTCTGGCATGCCAGGCACCCTTGCGGCAGGCTACGGAGTAGCGGATCTAGTGGCGTTTTGCCCGTCGTGGACAAGTGGCCTCTTCGAGACCTCTTGGGGTCTCTTGGGAGGTCTCGTGCGGGCTCCCAAGACGTCCCCTAAGACGACCCTGATAGACTCCCAGAATAGCCCCTAGACGGCCCAAGAAAGCGCCAGGACACGCCCAGACAGTCCAAGAAGGCCATGGCATCCGCAGGGCCTCAGACGTGGCTGGATCCACAGATCGACTTCGGAGGGCATTTTGAACGAGCATCGTCTTGGAACCGCTCCTAGAGGGTTTCGAAACTGGCCAATCGTTTCCCAAAAGGCTTCCCCGATGACACCCAATGCGCCCCCTGGACTCTCACCCTCTTTCAAGAGGCTGTCTTGCAAGCCGCTCAGACTACGCAGTTAGTTCACCCGCAGGGGCACCAACCTGCCCCTCCCGCACCACCAGACGTCTCCGCAGGGCGAGCCCGGCGTCTTGCCTGAGACGCCCTCATAATGTATGACCTTGAAGCCTGACGTTTTCAACACGTGCGAGGGTAGAGGCTGTATACATGATCTCGCCACTTGCAAACACAGCAATCGGTTTGTGCCGCTCTGGGGCTTGCTCGATCGCCCTCTCGTGGTGAGCTTGCGTGAACACATAATTGGTCCTCCCGCTCCCCACCGTCACCCCTAATAGTGGCAATTTGGGCTCACTTTTTCAGAGCTCAAGTCTGGGTTCGCAGCCTGACTCGCCTGTGTCGTTACCCGACTCTTGCCTCTCTGTGCAGACCATGACCACGCCCGTCGAGTCAGTCCTGGTCACTAAGAACACTTTCCTGGACTGCAGGTCGCCGTGGATGGATCCCGTCGTCCTGCCACGTAGGCTTGGCGGGACGAGAAGGGGGGGGGCATGGGGGGCAGGGATTCACTTGCTGGACGTCTTCTTCCGCCGCCTATCATGTCTTCGGTGGTGGCACTCGAAAGAGAACAACCTACGTAATGTGTGTGTGTGTGTGTGTGTGTGCTCGTGTGCGTGCGTTTGTGTGTGTGTGTGTGTGTGTGTGTGTGTCGTGTGTGTGTGTGTGTGTGTGTTTTGCGTGTGTGTGTGTGTGTGTGTGTGTGTGTGTGTGTGTGTGTGTGTGTGTATGTGTCGTGTGTGTGTGTGTGTGTGTGTTTGTGTTTTGCGTGTGTGTGTGTGTGTGTGTGTGTGTGTGTGTGTGTGTGTGTGTGTGTGTGTGCGTGTGTCGGCCAGCTCAGCCAAGAGGCTGGTCGAGCCGAGCTCGCCGCCGATGGCAGCGGAGAGGCTAGGAAAGCGGGGGGGGGGAAGCTGCGGCAGCTGCTGCGTGCCGCTGGTTTCGGCCCCGCCGCCGGGCGCGTTCCCCCTCGATGCACATGGGCGCCTCCTTCTCTTGCCGGGGGCTGCGCTGGGAGAACAAGCTACGATTCGCTCCCCCCCTTCCACTCGACCAACAAAACGGACGACACCACCGCACCTACGGCCCAACGCCGTGGCTGTGGCGCGTACCGCGCAAAACCCGCGCCAGATGTCCTGGAACACCCCTGGGGCCGTAGGTGGGGGGGTGCCGTTTGCTTTCTGGCCCATTCACTGCCCCTCGCCTTCGCGCCCGACCCGAGAGGCCCAGCTCCGACCCCGCCACCTCCACCACCTCTGTGGACGCCTCGTCGTCTGGCCTGGGCGAGCTCAGCGGCGCCAGCGAGCACACCGATAGCGGCGCCGGCGGCGCAACGGCGGGAGAGGGCGCCTTCCGTCGGAGGACGAGGGCACAGCGCCGCCGCCAGCAGCGCAAGCAGATCAAGGATCGGGCGACGTCGAAGAAGAAGAAGCCATGCCATAAGTATAAATTCTTTACGCTTCGCGTATCCCCACCAGCCCATCTCAAAACAGCAACTCTTGC